GTTAATCCTTAAAATTAATCTTAAATTTGATATTAAACTCTCATATTTTAATTAATATATTTAAGTTCTTAAATTTTATTATTTGAGAAATTTAACATTTAATTCTTTAACAATTATAAAAATAAAAATTAAATTACTATAATAATAAAAATTAAATTAATTAAATTATAAGTTTTAAGAATTTATATATCAACTAAAATTTAAATTTGAATGGCATTTCGGCTCAGTAACATTGGATCTTGGATTATGACTATTTACCTTCGTAAGTGGCGTATTCAAATCCCATAAAACTTATTTCTCCCATCCCCATATATACTTGTAAATAATGTCAAATTATTTAAAAAAAATTAAAATTTAAACTTTAATTATAAATTTAAAGTTAGTTCAAAAATTTAATACGTTATGTGTCGGTTATGAGCACGAGTACTGTGTCGTTTATGAGCACGAGTAAGTAGAAAAAGTGGAAAAGAGTGTGTATAAAGTGAGGTGACGTGACAGTAAAAGTGACAACATATGAATGTGTAATGGCTTTCCCCAATCGCAGAAGAGTTTTCAGTAAAATTGCTCTGCTTAGTCAACACCGACAGAAACAGTAGGACAGAAAATGTAAGAACATGTGAGGAAAAGAATGACCTACTTAGCACCTTCCCTGGGTTGTTGGGTGCTTGGAAATAACCAAATAGGAGTGTGAGGAAAAAAAAAAAACTAAAATTGACAAATAAAATTATGATTTTTTTAATTTGTATTATTAAGATATAAGTTAAAATTAATTAATTAAAATATTTTTAATTAATTTTACGTAAAATTTATATAAAAATTTATATAAAATTAATTATAAATATTAAAATAAATAAAATTTAATATTTATTCTAAAGACACATATTAAAAAATAAGATTGATATTTATTTGTTTTATTTTTAAAAAATAAAAAAATATTTTAATTTATATTTTAAAAATAAAATATTTTAATTTTTTTAATATATATTTATTAAAATGACATAATTTTATA